GGTAGTGAATACACCGCACTCACCTCTAAAAGGAGGTTTGAGATGATATAAGAAAATAATGTCATTATTATGGCATGAATGGTCATTGATCACGTACTTATTGTATGCCAAAATATTTTGGCATTGTGATTATTAAAAGACAACAGTAATGCAAGAAACAGATCTTGCATATAATTTTGACCATAACCATAGTGGTATAACTTTCTCTTTTAAAGAGATATTCACCATATGGGTGTTGATGAATATGTGGTACTACAAAATTAATTGAGAACTCTACAAGAGCCAATTATACTATTTTGTAGTAAGTCTCAAAGAAACTTATTCAGTTTCCAAAGTATACGCGAAAGCGGTTGATTATATTGAGACTATAAATAAAGGAAAGATTTAATATCTTCTATTACTACAACTTGTAGCGGGGTAATATGTATGTGAAAAGCTACCCGCTTTATTCTCCAATTTGTACTACATAAACAAAAGAATACCACAATGAAGTGGATATTTATTGATATAAAAACCCATATCATAATAAACTTAGAGTTTATTCATAATTGCACACATCATGGTATAAACCTGAAGTTTATCAATATTGATAATTTATCCAGTTGGCACAATTGGTTTAGCCATGTTAATTCAAGTATGATGTGCAAAAATAAAAGAGAATTCACATGGGTAAATATTAAAGAACTAGAAAGTTCTTTACGAATTCTCTTACATTGCTTGTTCTCATTAATTAATAGACCAACTAAAATTGGGATCGAATCCCATGAATGCTGGAAATATCAAAGGTGAATATGAGCCCATTCACCTGCCATGTATACCACATAAGATGCATCTATGAAATGGTTACATGTGCGATTATTATTAACCTGTAACATGGTGTTTGCGAGGTAACTTGCTCAATAATTTGACTTAGAGCATAATTTCCAGATTTTTTATTCAAGATTGTTCATCTTGACAAGTTGGTCTACATCACAACTGGTTTAGCAAAATGATTTATTGAGTGCCTCCACTTAATAGCTAAACAATTGCTTATGAGAACAAAGTTTTGTATATCAGTTTGATATATGTTATATACGAAAGTGTATTATTTTCTCCCCTCACAAGTGGTTCATGATCAGGAACCAAATAATTCCCTTATTATTATTGATGTGTGGTGTATATTTTGATTAACACCATAACGCACAAAGATGGGTTCTCAAAGTTGAGGAAACAAGTTAGTTTTTCTAACATGAGGGGGAGACATGATAAACAGTTGAGAAAAGGTTACGTGGAATGAATTATCACTTGTACATCTAGATCCTCGAATAAGATACTATGAACTTGAAGTTCATAAAAGGATAATTCATGTGCAATTTATTGCAAAGTATGCTAGACGCATTTGCTGACCCAAAGAAAGTAACTATATTCTCATTGCAAATGCTCCTATTAAGTCCTAGAAGGACAAAGTCTATAATACGCTTAAAGCATATAGACAAATCGGTTTCAAATAAACTTCTTGAAAAGAAGATGAGCAAATGATCTAAATGATCATAACAAAAGGAGGCAAGTGATCTAGAAGATCACATGACATAACACTTCATAAAATCTCATGAGAGATTCAGGTACCTGAATATATGAATGAAGAGATCTCTATGTTATGTCTTTATGAAAAAATATTGAAACTGATATAAAATGTTTGTCGACGACATCTACGATAGCGCTAAATATATATATGAGGATCTTAAGTCTGAAGAAACAATTCAAATAGAATTGGTTTCATATGAAAGACATGTAGTTTTGGACATGTAGTTCAAACACTTAAAAGTATAAAGTCAATGGTATGTGCAATCAGTTTTGGGTATCTTATATGTCTAGCATGACATGAAAACTCGATATGCATCAAAAGTCTATTATATGACTTATACGACTTAACTTATATGACAATTCATGAAGGATTTAAGTTGCTTGAAGCATATACAATTCTTGATCTTGAAGTACCACTTCCTCAGTGCAATTTGTGCACAAATGTATCTTGCTATAACTATATGCATGATAATATGATAGCAAGGGTTTTCACCTTTATGTGAAGATATTGAACTGACGATTCCAACAAGATCATATGAAGACAATACATCTATTAGGAATGATGATTTCAAGGTGAAACAAATTCGTTCAAGAGATCTTTTGAAGATGGTGCACAAGATTGGAATCCAAATGCATAAGGATGTGAATTGATGCTCTCATCAGGGGGAGTTAATACGCGTTGTACTCTTTTTCCCTTACAAGATTTTGTCCCACTGGGTTTTCCTTGCAAGGTTTTTAACGAGGCAACCAAAAGGCGTATTATTAGATATGTGTACTCTTTTTCCTTTTCTAGATTTTTTTTCCCATTGGGTTTTATTTTAGTTAAGGTTTTAACGAGGCACATTATCTGTTGAATAGACATTCAGGGGGAGTGTTATAAATAGAATTTTATTTATGGTGAATGTCTATATTTAGAGAGATTCTAGGGTTTATTACTTGGTGGCTAAGTCACCTTCTCCCTATAAATAGAGGGTTCTATTCCGTTGTAATTCATCACAAATCAATAAGAATTCTCTCCCTCTACTTTTCTCTGCAATACTCTTCTTCTTCTTTTATTGTTCATAACATAACTTCTTTTGTTCTACTTTATTTATGTGATGATGATACAATTTACTTAGAAAGTCCAATACGTTTTATTTGAGCATAAACTTTTCAAATACTTTTTAAATATTTTGAATAGTTAATTATTGTGACTTATAATAATTTTTAGATAGTTTCTAAATATGAAAAAATTATTTCAAAAAGAATTAGAATATTTATGTACCAATTTATATCGAAATTTAAATACTTTGACCTTCGTACTCCAAATCATGTCAAATAAAATAGAATGGCGAGAGTACTATTTAACACCATGGGCGCATCAATACCTAGTTTTACTAGTTTATGTTTCCTGGTTCCACAGTACTACAATGATACAAGGGGAAGGTCAAGTACCGTATTTATCAGAAATCTTTGCTCGTGACATTAAAAATTTGTGGGTTTATTTGTTTTTTCTTTTGTCTTAAAAAGAGTTTAGTACTTGCAATTATACAATTAGGAAAGGAAGTCCGTGATATGTGAAGCCAACTTTGCCAACCTTTCCTCACGAGTGACGAGATTTGTTGCCCCTAATCAACACCTTAATATTTGTTGTTAGTCGGTGTCCAGATTCTTTTAAAGTTATTCCTTAATCAATAATTATCTTTAATCTGTTAGTCACGAGATGTCTAACTACGTGATAGTGAATTAGTGAACTATATATATTCTCTCCAAATCAGAATTCCACAAAAGTACGTTCTCTATCTTAATTTTGTCAATTTTAAATGTTTACCATGTACTTATACTTTGTTCCACAACAACTAAGTTACATGAATCAAAAAGTGAATATAGTATGAGGAAAACTCTTGGTGGAGGATATCTCTAGACGGCTGTGTAAGGAGATATGATCAATATTCTTTAATAATTTTACTTTATTCACATTGAGCTTAATAAAAATCAAAAATAAAATAAGTGTTAGTAGACTGTATTTGTAAAATAATTCTGGAAATATAAATGAATATAAACAGAAATGAACATAAACAGAAATGACATAAAACCAATTCGAGCGCACTGAATTCACAGTGTTTCCTTAAGGAATTTAATCCCCTCCTAGTACCTAAGGTTATGGATTATTTCCTCACAGGATAGAACGAATTACACACTGGTGTAGTGGTACTTCAAACCCCAGTGTTTCAGCGAACACAAAGTTCGGTAGCAAATCACACTTACTTTTTACTTTGTTTGATGCTAAAAGTATGCAGAAGGAGAGAAAACTCAGAAAATCGTAGTGAAATTCTGAGCAGAATAGTGTTGTATTTATAACCAAAGTTGGGCTTAAATCTGAAGAGGTGCAACTCTTCAGAATGACTGTTTATGCAAAACTGCCACAGCATAAATGGCCATTTACTCAACAATAAAGAGGGGAAATAAAGAGGGAAAATTGAAGAGGGTAGTAACTTTTCTGTTACCAAAACAGAAAAACGGATTGGATTTAATATTAATATTTTACTACTGTAGCCGAAGTCGAAGCCCAGTCGAGCGAGCGACGACGATGACGGCGCGAGGCTTGCATTCTTCTCAACTCTTTAAGATCTAGAAGAAGAGCAATTGCTTATATACCCATAAAAAACCTCTTCCTCTTCCAATATGGGACAATGTCCATTTACCAAAGGGGGGAAACTTAAAATTTCACTCAAAAATTTCATTTCCCTCCATTTCCCATTCACCCTCTTTTATGTATTTAATATATATTAAATACAAAAAAACCCAACAATAAGAACCAAAAAGAAATTAAAATACTCGAATTCGGTTTATGAATTTACATTTCATTGACATGAAATAAATAATCTTAAAAGGTCTAAATATAACCACTACATTTAAATTCATAATTATATGAAAAATGTGAATCCTCGTTTGATTAACTGCTCAGGATCATGAAGATTGCATGTTCGAATTCTATCCTGAACCTAATCAGTATAACATTGTTTATTGGAGTAGGAGGCTGAAAAATCAACACAAGTAGAAAGCTAGATCTAATTATTTTTGGACAATTTAGATGGGTGACGGTAAAATTCGAACTTAGAATCTCTACGTACTTGCTCTAATATCATAATGAAGTACATATATAACTATCTTATCTAAAAACTTAAATTAAAGAGTGCATATTTTTATTTGCTTAATTATACCTTCAACCATCTTACTCCGAAAATGTAACAGGGGATGGTTTAGGCCACCGACGAAACTTTGCTCATAATTATTCAAGCACTAAAATCACTATATTTTGCTAGGACATGTCATGTTTCCATTTAGAACTGCATGTGAAATGTCATTAACAAAAATAAAATAGTCATCAACTAGCTAGCTATAGTACAGCCTAAAGCCAATGTCTTCATCCTCTATATAAACCCTATAACCACACTCCTCAAAACCACCATCCACAAAACAACAAAGATAGTAAAAAAGTTCCAAAACTTCAATAATGGAAGCAAAGCAAAAGCTTGTCATCTTTTTGACACTTGTGATGGTTGCAGCCGTTGGATTTGAAATGGTGGCGGCAGGAGATTCATCGTGTGGTTTAAGCATTGCTGATCTAATGTCATGTAAGCCAGCAGTATCTGGTCCTAAACCATTGCCACCATCTGAAAAATGCTGCACTGCTTTAAGCAAAGCAGATTTGCCTTGCCTTTGCACTTTCAAAAACAGTCCAATGATATCTGCTTTCAAGATTAATGCAACTCTTGCCATGGATCTTCCCTCAAAATGCAATCTTAGTTCTCCAAATTGCGCTTAATTAATTTAATTAATGATCGTACGGACTACCCCTTTCACTTGATGTTATTGTTTTGTTTCATTATCTATTGGCTTTGTTAATTGTTTCTTTTTTCTTGGAAGTGTAGACGTTCCTAGCGTCATCTTGCTGTCTTATTTTATTTTTTAAATAACTTGGAGTGGGGTTAAGATCGATTTCATGTTATGGCAAGAGTTTGTGTTGATCACTCGAGAGTTATGTTAATAAAGTTTGATGTTTTATGTCACGACATTTGATTTGGTTTAAGTTTTGTGTACTGACATTAGAGTTTTTATAGTATCGGATTGAATTTACCTATAATAAGAGATAGCTCCTAATAGTGAGTCTGATAATTAACATTCAAAATAAAGTAATGTGACCTTTGATTTCTTTAAAACTTAGAACTTTCCTTTTTTAGTAATATTTATACAAGTCTTTCCTTGTAAACTATATCTCCATCAACAAACTTGCCTTATTTAGTATCCAACCTTGTGTAGCTTTCGTTGTATTTCCGCAATAATGTTGTTCAGTCAATGAGCTAACCATTCCGTTCAATATTTGTTACGTTCGTGTACTCAAGTCATTTTCTATAAAAATACTTTTTTGAGGGAGTTAATTTAATTAGGCTGATGCAACACTTAAAGTTGGCACCATTTTTCATTTAGACATCTAAACTTAAGGGTATTCCTATTGAGCACTTATATTACCCTAAACTTGTTCCAATTAGGCACTTTTTTTACAATTAACCAAACTTACAAAGTGTGTGCAATGCACTCGCTGCTGACGTGGCGAATGACAAATAAAAAAAGAACATATATCATTTTGAGTTAAAAAAAAGAAAAAACTATTTTAAAATCTATTTAGTAAACAAAATAACATAACATTCTCAAAAAGAAAAAAACTTTAATTTACACCCAATCAGAAAATGACACATTATTAACAAAAGAAAAGACAAAAAAAGGACATATTGGTGTTCTTGAAATCATTGTTCTTGGTGTTCTTCGCTATCTTCATGTGTATTCTTGTTCCAACCATGATTTTAATCCAAAATTTCAAGAGAAACTCCTCCAAATTTGTTATAATTTCAGCTAAAGATTCCCCACGAAGACTCGAAACAATCCCAATATTAATTTCTCAAATTTTCATCAAATCAAGTAACCCATTTTAAACCTTCAAGCTTTCTTAAAGACTCCATTAATGGTGTTTTGACTTCAAATGAATAATACAATCTCACTTCGGTTTCAATCAACTGAAACGATTGTTGGTACAAACTTTCGAGCTAAATTAATGGTGGAGGCACAACAATGGTGAAAGTGGGGGAGACAATGGTGGAAGTGATGGTGTAGAGAAAAGAAGAAGAAGAAGAAGAAAGAAATAAGAAGAAAAAATGAAGATAAAATCTGTTTTTTGGGCTCTTCAAGCGCCTATTTTGGGTGAAGTTCACTCTATGTGCCAACTCAGCAAGAAGTGTCTAATTGGAAATGTTTAGGATACTATAAGTGCTCAATTGGAACACCCTTAAGTTTAGGTGTCTAAATAAAAAATTGTGCCAATTTTACGTGTCTCCAGATGTATTCAACCATTTAATTATGGTGCTTGGTTATTAGACAATATTTTTCTTGAAAGCCGTATTAATTTTTAACTTCATATTACTCGTTTCATTACTGTTACACTCATAAATCAAACATCGGAACATACTTTTGACGAAAGTAATTTTCGTGAAAAAATAATTTTTGATTAAAGTTTTGTCCGTGAAAAAAACCTCCATATGTCATACCAAACACAGAGTTATAGTTAAGGTGGAGAAAAATTCCGCATAAAATTGAAACCAAGCATAAATTTGGCACTCAAGATGAAATTATTAATAAAAATCGATCCATTGATAGCCCATTCCTTAAGATGATAAATTTTCAAAAACATATTTTCTATTAAGTAGAGATATAATAATATTGAAGGGTTTCAACAATATAGGTCTCACGAGATATAAAATTAAACGCCCTCTCAATTCCTCCTTTCCCTTCCCCTTCCCTTTACTTAGCCACTAGTAAATAAACATCATTAATTACAACATCACATTTAATTTAAATCTTAGATAGCAACTTGCAGCTTCTTAAATGGAAACATAGTTCTAATGTTGGTTTCTGCCTCAACATTCTTTTCATCATCTTTGAGAAATTCTTCAACTATTTCCAAGCAAGGTTTCAACACCATTTCATTCCAAGCATCATCAGCTTCTTTTCCAGATTTTTTGTGCACATTAGTCGCATCAATTTGGTGAATTGGCCACATTTTCTTGTTCCTCAGACGTCGAATTTTCTCAAGTTGGCAACACACTAATTTGCACGTATTAAGCTTAATTTCTTCAATGGCAGATTCAAGGAGTATCTGTTTAGCTGCTTCATTAATATTTGATTTGTTTTCTTCTCTTAAATACATGTCCATCTCTGGAACACCAATGGATCGTCGGATTCCTTTGGTGTAATCTGCATCAGGAACAAATATTCCTCGTACCTCATCCACTAACCCTGCACCATAACTAATTCAAGAATCAATTGATTGATTAAAAACAGAAAAACTAAAAGAAACTAAATCAATGCATATATAATTAACCATGGCACTAGTACGTTTGTACAATGATTGTGCACGTTCCATGCATGCGTGTAGTTAATTCTTTTTCATATATGAGATAATTACAGGTGAAATTAGATGACGAAAAGAAAAAAGTTTAGAACGTCTCTAATTTTATTAGAGTTTTTTGATGATAGCAATTTTTTCACTTTGTAATTACGATTAACCACTACAATTTTTTTTGAAGAGAATTATAAACAGACCTGCATGGACCATGTGATCAACCCTTTTGGAAACAGAAGAGTGTAAAACAGGCAAGGCAACATCAACCCAAAGGAAGCAACATTTGTACTTAGATTTAAACTTGAACACTGGATTCTCCACAAGTGCCTCAATGTAAGTATTAGATCCTCCAACAATTATTGGAATATGGCCAGAATTCAACACATATTCTATGTAGTAAACAGCTTGACAGCAGAAATCCTCAGCCGTGAAGTCAGCTTCCGGCTCAATTTCACCTAGCAAATGTAGAAAATTAAAGTTAAATTACTATACATTCGTTTGGTGTAAATACTGAGGTGCAATAAGTTTTTACCTAGCAAATGGTGCGGTACGCCTTGTTTCTCAGGGTCTGTGATTTTGTTTGTAACAATGTCAAGTCCCTTATACACTTGCATTTTGTCACAGTTGATGATTTCTCCTGGAAAATGAGTGGCGAGATCAACTGAGAGACGAGATTTTCCAGTTCCAGTAGCTCCCATTATGAACACCACCTTCTTTTTGTTCAACCCGTTATTGATGGAGTTCATGCTTCTACATATGTAAAAAAAATCAAAATATAGATGTTAGATTAAAATATTATAGTTAAATCTAATTAACTATATTTATGTTCATTTTTAATACATTTATTTATTTTTGAACAAGAAACAATGGTTGCTGTCGAACCCACGATTTCTATATATCTGCCAATGTTCACGAGGCCACTTCAAATGAAGTGAAGCATAATGATTAGTAGTAGTATAATTTCTCTTGCATAAATGAAGAGAATGCTATGATCATGATAAAATGACGCTACATATTTACGGCATCAAAGTAAATAAACAATTGATTTCACATAGAAGGAGAATTAATATATCTATTATTGAATATTATATAAGATGTAGAAACCTTGTGAAAACGCAAGTACTAGTCTATGTTGTTGTGTATCTTGTTGAAGCAAGATATATACTATGTAAATATGTTTTGCTTGAATGTGGTTAAAGAAAGAAATTATATTCAGCTTTTTATACTAAGATGTGAGTGTGGACTAATTAATGGTTGAGACATTTTAGAATTTCTAGATTTGAAGATTAATTATATCTTGAAAATGTGATACATGGTCATAACATGACTTTATCCACTTTAATTTTCATCCTTATCTAAAAAATGTATCTGAGTGGCATTAATAATCTTCCTTTCCTTTTCTCCTTGCTCCTAGTTTTATCTCCTAATTTGCTCCTAGTATTTTAATTCTTCTATTCCTATTTTCACGTTTTCTATTAGTGAGAGTAAAATTTATCTATCTGAAAGACGGCGGATCAACCCCTAATCTGATCCAATGGTGTAAACTGCAGATTAGTGATAATCATATCTCAGATATAATTCTACATCATGCATGAATATTTTCGTGACTAAGAGGATACATATGAGATCATATCTATAGCGAAAACTCATGCTTTTAGTGTCCTTTTACATTTATATATTACCGATGGAGTACATAAGATTTTTCATAAGCTATCAACATCGATATCTTAAGAGGTGTGTTTACCCTCAAAATGTGTAACAATTGAATTTGTGCGCGGTTTAAAGATTACATGATTTAATTTAACATGAATGATCTAAGAACAACAAATAATTAAATTAAAGAGAAACAAAACGGCAAAACCATACGTGATGAAACAATTAAGCCTGTCTTTAAGTTGAACGTTGAAACTGGTTCCGATCGAGCCTTCGAGATGGGCTCGGTTGCAACTAAAGAAATGAGTAGCTCAAGAACAGTTTGAACAATAGCTAGAAGACAAAAATAGACTTTTTTTCTTTGATATCCGTGCCAATAGTGGTGAAAAAATAAAAAGGTTCTTGTAGCGACCCGACTGGTTGTTTGAGCTCTAGCGCGTCGTTCGGCAGTTTGAGGCCATGAGCAGCTTCACTTTAGGTATTATGACTTGTACGCATGGTCGGAATTGAATTCCGGGAAGTTCGGAGTTGATTTGGAAGGAGAATTCGCATTTCGGAAGCTTTAAGTTGGAGGAATTGACAAGGATTGGATCTTTGAGTAAACGACCTCAGAATCGGGATTTCAAGGTTCCAACAGGTTCGTATGATGATTTTAGGCTTGGCATATGTCCGGATCGGGTTTTGGATGACCCGGGAGCGTTTCAGCGCCTATTATGTAAGTTAGCATTTTGGAAGAATTTCATAAGTTGGGTTGAAGTGCCTTTCAGTGTTATCGATGTCCATTTGACTTTTCGAGTTTGGGAATAGCTCCGTATGGTAATTCTGGTATTGGGAGCGCGATCGGAAGTGAATTTAGAGGTTCGTAGGTCATTTGGCTAAAGTTAGAAATTTGAAGGGTTTTTAAGAAGTTTGACCGGAAGTAGACTTTTTGATATCGGGGTCGGAAACCGATTCCGAAAGTTGGAGTAGGTCCGTAATGTCGAATATGACTTGTGTACAAAATTTGAAGTCAATCGGAGGTGATTTGATAGGTTTCGGCATCGAATGAAGAAGTTCGAAGTTCTAAAGTTCATCAAGTTTGAAATGGAGCGTCATTCATGGTTTTAGCGTTGTTTGATGTGATTTGAGGCCTCGAGCAGGTCCGCGTTATGCTATGGGACTGGTTGGTGTAATTGGACGGGGTTCCGGGGGCCTCAGGTGGATTCCAGGTGGTTAACGGATCGAATTTGGAGTTAGAAGAAGAATTGAGATGTCTTCTAGTGTAACCGCACCTGCGAGGCTTGGGCCGTAGGTGCGGAGCCGCAGAAGCGGCCCTGAGGTCGCAGATGCGATTTTGGTGGGGAGAGCTAGGACCGCAGATGTGGTCATCTCGCCGCAGAAGCAGGAATGGGCTGGGTGCCCTGGACCACAGAAGCGGTGCTTGGTTCGCACCTGCGGGACCGCAGAAGCGGACCAAGTGACCGCAGGTGCGAAAAGGTTGGAGGCAGTGAGCTTTCTTTAAAACGGGGGTTTGGCTCATTTCAAAACCATTTCCTCCATGGGAGCCGGATGTGGAGCAACTTAGGAGTGCCATTTTCACCATCAAGCATGAGGTAAGTGGTTTATACTAGTTTGAGATCAATAAATCAATTATGTATATGTTTTAGCATGGAAATTAGTAGAAATTTGGGATTTTGAGGAAAACCTAAAAATTTGTATTCTTGGATTTAGACCACGATTTTGGGCATGAAATTGGGAGTAAATTATATATATTTGAGATCATGAGGTTAAGGTTCAACTTTTTCTTCGAAAAATTTCGGAATCCGGGTACGTCGGCCCGAGGGCGATTTATTCAACTTCTCGTGCGGGGTTGGGAATTTATATAAATTGAATTGTTATAAGTATTGTGGTGTATTTTCATTGGTTTGCCCCTTTATTTGGCTAGTTTTGGAGCGCGGTGCATAGATTTGAGTCGCCGGAAGGGCTTGGGGAGCCGGTTATGGATCTTCGGAGTGAGGTGAGTCTCCTTTCTAACCTAGCAAGAGGGAATTAACCCCATAAGTGAAATAATTAAATATGTGCTCCTATTTGTGAGGGCTACGTATGCACGAGATGACGAGAGTCCGTGCGTAGCTACTATTATGCCTATGTCTGGGTAGTTTTAGGCTACATTATGCCTTGTTGATATTGTTGTTGATATATGTTTACTGTTTGCCTTGAGGAGAAATAAGATTGAGGTTGCGTAATAATTGTGCTGAAAGGAATTTAAATTGAGGAATTTAAGAATTTAAGTGTTTCCATTAAACTTAGTATATTCTAAAAGAGTTGAGAAATCTTATAGTAGCTTAAGAAATCTATGGGTAACCGCGTCGCATGTATGTTTCGCGAGCGAGGTAAATTACTCAAAAAGTTTTAAGATGAATTTCCATTATTTTGAAAAAGAATTTAAGAAAGAGATATGACTTAAAAATTAAATCTATATTTGACCGCGTCGCAGGTATGATTCGCGAGCGAGGTAATTTATTAGATTTATATTTGACCGCGTCGCATGTATGATTCGCGAGCGGGGACAGCGTCGCATGTATGATTCGCGAGCGGGGACATAGATGCATCTATGGTTCGTGCCATTCGACCCTCTGGCAGTGCACAGTTTACTTTTATGTTGGATCGGGCTGTACGCCTCAGCATTTCCTATATATATATATATATATATTTGGCTAGAAGCCAGTTGATCTGAGGGATCTTTCCCTGATTTGAATTATGACAACTTCCTTAATGAAATCCACTATATCTATATATATGCTTCGGTTACGGAGGGAACTTGATAGTTGAGAGCTTGAGTAAAATTATAAAGAGGGGAACTGTATCACGTGTTTTATACTTGTTTATTTCATATATTTACTCTGTTTCATGTTTATTCACTCCATTACTGTACCAATATCATTAGACCGCTAGTAAGTGTCGGAGTCGACCCCTCATCACTACTTCTTCGAGGTTAGGCGGGATACTTACTGAGTACAATTTATTTTTGTAGTCATACTACACTTGCTGTGTATTTTTGTTGCACAGGTACATGTATGACTAGTGGCCTTGTCAGGCGCAGCGGCATGTTGATATGGAGACCTAGGTGAGCTGCACCTCTCGAGACGACCCTCAGCCGGCAGAGTCTCCTTCAGAGTGCTGTATTGTGATTTCCTTTCTGTACAATTTGTATTCCGGACAGTTATGTATTACATTTTGTTTGTCCTAGAAACTGCTCATGCACTTGTGACACCGAGTTCTGGGATGACTATGGGATTATTCAATATTTAAGTTTGTTAAAGACATCATTATTTATTCAGTGAATTTCATTATTTATTGTTTAATGTATAAAAGGGATGATTTCAATAATCACTAAAATGAGAATTTAATTAACTTCTTAGTGTTGGCTTGCCTGACAGTGGTGTCCGGCGCCATCACGATCCTTAGTGAATTTTGGGTCGTGACAACATGGTATCAGAGCACTAGGTTCCCTTAGGTCTCACGAGTCATGAGCGAGTCTAGTAGAGTCTTGCGGATCGGTACAGAGACGTCTATACTTATCTTCGAGAGGCTACAGGGCTGTTAGGAGCACTTCCCTTCTTGATTCCTCATCGTGCAATTTGATTTCCTTTAAGGCTTATGCCCTTGTTTCCGTCCTACTCAATCTTATGTGATGTGAAGTGCTTATTATAAATTGGAATTGGGGAATTTTAATGGTACTACAGAAGTACAGAAGTGGTGTGGGATGTTTCTCCCGGCATAGTTGGTTGGGCTATTATCGTCGCCTTGCGGAAGGATATTATGTCATTTCAGCTCGGTAGCTGCACTTCTGAGAGCTTGAGGCTACAGGTTGCTATGATGCTCATGATTGGTTATGCACAGTGTTGATGTGATGGTAGGATACTTGCTCATATGTCGGGTCAGTGGATGACTTGAAAGGAGGTCTACTCGGTGTATGATTCAAAGATTCGGTATTTTATTTTTGGCGGAGGAAAGGCAATCGAACTATAAATGATCAGTTTTGGGTTGATAGAGTGACGAGACTTGGTGCTTTCATGTGTGGTGGAATTTCTATCTGCGACGTGGTGTCGTCGTCC